CCCACCATTCCCAGGGGATGGATCCCAGTGGGAAAACACCCCACAATTCCCATGGGATGGTTCCCAGGTGGGAAAACACCCCACAATTCCCATGGGATGGATCCCAATGGGAAAACATCCCATGATTCCCACGGATTGGATCCCAGTGGGAAAACACCCCATATTTCCCATGGGATGGATCCCGGCGGGAAAACACCCCACAATTCCCATGGGTTGGATCCCCATGGGAAAACACCCCATGATTCCCATGGGATGGATCCCAGTGGGAAAACACCTCACCATTTCCAGGGGTTGGATCCAGATGGGAAAACACCCCACAATTCCCTTGGGTTGGATTCTCTCTGGGAAAACACCCCACTATTCCCAGGGGTTGGATCCCTGTGGGAAAACACCCCACAATTCCCATGGGATGGATCCCAGTGGGAAAACACCCCACGATTCCCATGGGATGGATCCCAGTGGGGAAACATCCCCCAATTTCCATGGGATGGATCCCAGGTGGGAAAACATCCCCACAATTCCCATGGGATGGTTCCCAGGTGGGAAAACACCCCACGATTCCCATGGGATGGATCCCAGTGGGAAAACACCCCACAATTCCCATGGGTTGGATCAGGGCTTCCTTCCTGACCAATCCCATGATTCCCATGGGATGGATCCCAGTGGGAAAACACCCCACGATTCCCACGGATTGGATCCCACTGGGAAAACACCCCATGATTCCCATGGAATGGATCCTGGTGGGAAAACACCCCACAATTCCCATGGGATGGATTCCAGTGGGAAAACACCCCACAATTCCCATGGGATGGATCCCGGTGGGAAAACACCCCACAATTCCCATGGGATGGATCCAGGTGGGAAAATACCCCACAATTCCCAGGGGTTGGATTCCCATGGGTTGGATCAGGGCTTCATTCCTGCCCAATCCCACAATTCCCAGGGGATGGATCCCCGTGGGAAAACACCCCACAATTCCCATGGGATGGATCCCAGGTGGGAAAACACCCCACAATTCCCATGGGATGGATCCCGGTGGGAAACACCCCACAATTCCCATGGGATGGATCCCAGTGGGAAAACATCCCATGATTCCCTTGGGTTGGATCCTGGTGGGAAAACATCCCACAGTTCCCATGGGTTGGATCCCAGTGAGAAAACATCCCACAATTCCCTTGGGATGGATCCCAGTGGGAAAACACCCCCACAATTCCCATGGGATGGATCCTGGTGGGAAAACACCCCACAATTTCCATGGGATGGATCCCAGGTGGGAAAACACCCCACGATTCCCATGGGTTGGATCCCTGTAGGAAAACACCCCACAATTCCCAGGGGTTGGATCCAGGTGGGAAAACATCCCCACAATTCCCATGGGATGGATCCCAGTGGGAAACACCCAACAATTCCCATGGGATGGATCCTGGTGGGAAAACACCCCACAAGTCCCATGGGATGGATCCCAGTGGGAAAACACCCCCCAGTTCCCACGAGTTGGATCCCAGTGGGAAAACATCCCACAATTCCCATGGGATGGATCCCAGGTGGGAAAACACCCCATGATTCCCATGGGATGGATCCCAGTGGGAAAATATCCCACAATTTCCGTGGGATGGATCCCAGTGGGAAAACACCTCACAATTCCCAGGGGATGGATCCCAGTGGGAAAACACCCCACAATTCCCAGGGGATGGATCCTGGTGGGGAAACATCCCACAATTCCCATGGGATGGATCCCAGGTGGGAAACACCCCACAATTCCCATGGGATGGATCCCAGTGGGGAAACATCCCCCAATTTCCATGGGATGGATCCCAGGTGGGAAAACACCCCACGATTCCCATGGGATGGA